GCGTATTTGTGCACACATTATCCTCTTATCAGTGTCTGACACGCTCCTAAAAATGTCCAGATATGCATAAACAGATTAGATAAATCACAAAGCAGTAACACACCGGTAGTTAAATCTCAGACAGAGATATAACAGAAACTCCACACTGAAAGAAATCATGATAAGGGAAATCAGTTAGCATAAAAATATCTTTGTAATGACATGATTACAAGGCGAGAGGAAAGAAACAAAAAGATCACTCAACATCCATAAAAAGTGAAAAAAGAATAAACTGCAACAAGGCTGGTCAGCGCAGCGCGTGTCCCTCTCGGCGCTATACAAACTGAGATAAAGGAGGAGAAAGAGGGAGAGGCAAGTCGAAGAGAATCCCACGCAAAGCGGCTCCTTCGCTGATAAAGGGTCTCGCCGCTGGGGACGCTGCTCGCCTATCAGCCGACACGGATCGACCACTCGCGCTTCCTACGCCGTTCCTTTGGCTTCCTCGCCGTTCCTACGACTCGTTTCCTACGTCGTTTCTGTTTCTCCCTCGTCGTTCGTTCGACTCGTTCCTTCGCCGTTTCTGTGGCTCCTTCCTCCACCGTTCCTCTGACTCCTTCCGCCGCTGTCCCAGAGGTTCCCTTACCGTTCTTTCGACTCCACTCTTCGTCGTTCCTCTAACTCCTCCACTATTTATCTGACACGTTCCTTCGTCGTCCTCCTTGCGGCCCGGGACTTTGATCTTCTAGGGCGTGGGTATTCAGGGTTTTTTTTTTCTGGTGTGGGTTTTTTCGAGTTTTGCGGAAGAGATTAGTGTATGTGGGGTAGGTATGTGGGTGGGGATGTGGGTGTGGGGGGGGTTGCTTTGTTTCGAGATTCCCACCATTATTCTATGTTTTAATTTTGTTGTTATTTTCTTTGTTCGTCCATACTTTTTTGAATGTGTCGCGGCTTTTTTTTTTTTCTTTTTTGTCTATAAAATAATGTTATTGCATCGTCAGATATATGTTTATCATTTATATCATTATTATTTCCAAAGTCCACAAATTCATCTCTTCAACCCATCACTTCATTATTATTCATCCTAATTACATACTAATATTTCAACATACCCCCACAAAAAAAAAAAAAAAAAAACTCATTTTGCAACATGTAAACTTTTATAAATCTCCAAAACACAAATATCCGATTATAAACTCTACGGCCGCCAGACGCCACAGATCGCCCGGTTCAGAGCTTGTTTATTTTTCAATCAATCTATTGGAGAATTCAATAATGTTACGTCCTAAATTCGTAATATGATACTATGACACAATGTTGCAATCCTGCATCAAGTGTATCAGGACTGACTGGTAAATAAAAGACGAAAATAAACAACAAGAATTCGAAGTATTGAATTTTATTTGCAGTAATAACAATATAAAACAAGTTAGATGTGTAACAAACGTCAAATAAAAATCAGATTGGGATGAAGAATAGATGGATTAAGACCTGTTATCGAAAGAATAAAAAAAGACGAATCAATAAAAAAATGCGATATTTCTTAGATATGTAACAACTTCAAATATAAAAAAGACAATATTGACATGAAGAATAGATGAATTAAGACCTGTTATCGAAAGAATAAAAAAAAGAAAAATTTATTAAAAAATGCGATATTTCTTCCCACTGAGGAGATGACGCTAATGTGAGAAATTCCCTCCGGATCGGCGTGGGCGAGTGGGCGTGCAGCGGCATGCGGGCGCGATGGAGTGATTAATCGATACCCGCAACAAGTCCTGGATCGGCGCGGCCCATTTATGCAGCATCCGTGCATTGGGAAATTAGCGCCTATGCACTCCTACGGGCATGGGCCAATCTAGATGGAAGCGAGGTCACTGAATGAACCGAGGCATACGCTGACGCAGAGACACAACCTGTTTGCTAAGAATTGTGCGAGGCCCGACGCAATGAATATTCGGTATACGCATATACGTATATACCGAGATACATATCTATCAGTCTAGACATGTATATATACCGGATAGATAGATAGATAAATGCATGTCTATCAGATGATTAGGCGGATATGCTTTTCTGTGGATATACATGTCCGTATATAAATTTATTTATTGGGTCGAGACGAGCACATTGGAGTATACGCACACGCTCTCGCTCACTCACACAAACGCACACACACATACAGTTAGACCCACAGACACACTCATGCAAACACTTAAAACACACAACCTTCATACACACATACAAACATATACCAACGCGTACATACACGTGCGCACTTGAACACATACACAACATTCACACGCACATACACAAATGTAGACATACACGGACACGCACACATACTACCACGATGCCTCACATCATGCGGGCAACGTGGCCTCCATATTCCCTCAAATTCCACCCTCCTTTTTTTGTAAATAAAACAAACACGCGGGAAGCTTCTCGGATCGCGGGCGCCGTCGCCGCCCACGCCCGCACACTGCCTCGCATCCCTGCTATGTGCGGCATCCAGCCTCCGCCGCCCTTATTCGCCCTCCTTACTCCCTGTTCCACCCTTTCATCCTCCTCCTCCTCCTCGGCCCTATCGCCCTCGCGTCCTTCCTTCTTTTCCTCCTCTTCTTCTTCTTCGTCCTCCTCTTCTTCTTATTCTTATTCTTCATCTCTTCTTCTTCTTCATCCTCCTCTTCTTCTTTCTTCATCATTCTTCTTCTTCTCTTACTCCCCCTCTTCTTCTTCTCTCCTCTCTCCTCCTCCTCCTCTTCTTCTTACTCGTCTTCTTCTTCTTCTTCCTGCCCCTCTTTCTTCTCTTCCTCCCCTCCTCTTCTTCTTCTTTCCTCCTCCTCTTCTTCTTCTTACTCCTCCTCCTCTTCTTCTTACTCCTCCTCCCCCTCTTCTTCTTCTTCTTACTCCTCCTCCTCTTCTTCTTCCTCCTCTTCTTTACTCATCCTCCTCTTCTTCTTCTTCCTCACCGCTATACCTCCTTCATCTCGTCTTTATTGCCTTCATCCTCTTTTTTCTCTCTCTTCAGTCTTCTCTTCCTCCTCTTTTTCTTTAACTCTGTCTTCGCATATATATTCTTCTTCTTTTCTTCCTCTTCCCCAAACCTCTCTTATTTTTCTTCTTCCTCCATCTCTCTTTCTTCTTCCTTCATCCTTCCTCTTCTACTACCTCCTCCCCTTCTTCTTCGTTCCAATCCTATATTCTTAAAATTTCTATTCCCTGTTCATTCTCTTCTCTTATTATTTCATTATCTCAGTGTTTCTACCTTCTCACAATCCATATATTTAGTTCTTTCCCTCTCCTTTCGTCTGTATTTATCATCTTTTGCATCATCTCTTCCTTCATATTTTTTTATACTATTTACATTATTTTCTTTTTGTTTCGTATGGTATTAACTCTTCTTTCTTTGCCTGATCCTCCTTGGTTTCAATTTGCGGTTTCAGTACACTCTCTCTGTTTATTTAGTTGGGTATTTGCGGTTTGATCGGGGTATGAGGGAGATCAAACCACAATCTTATTATCTCTCCTCTTTCCATTTTTCTTTTTTTTTTGTGTGTTGTTTTCATCATTATTTTTTTATTCCTCTCTTCTCTCTCTCTCTTCTCTCTCTCTCTCTCTCTCTCTCCTCTCTCTCCCTCTCTCTCTCTCTTCTCTCATCTTTTCTCTCTCTCTTCTCTCTCTCTCTCTCTCTCTCTCTTCTCCCTCCCTCTCTCCCTCCCTCTCTCACTCCAT